AACTGGTTGTTTGCTCGCTTAGGCTTTTATATAAAGAGATTGAGTACCTGTTTTCTAAATATTTAGTGAAACGTGGCAAATTGCTTTAATGGGATTTTGTAACTGTGTGGAGTTTTCCTGACTCCACTCCGTTTCAGTGTGCAATGTAGTGACCTTTCTGCTGCCCCACTGTCATCCAGGCCCTGGCTGCTTCCCCTGGCAGCTAGTCAGGCTGTGACTCCAGGGGCTCTGATGGCCACACTTAAAAATATGTCCCAGTTCCCTTCCCAGGTCAAAGCGGCCGTGGACCCTCCCAGGGAGCCGCTCAGGCGGTGCCTGGAAGGGGACTGTTTCCCGTACATGATGTACATGGAAGCCTCGCTCTGCCCGTTTTACACCTAACATGTGCTGAGCGTCTCCACGGAGACAAGGAGGCAGAGTCCAGGGGTGGGGCATCTCCCGGGAGACGGCAGGTGGGGCTCAGGCCCAGGCCCAGGCCCTGCAGGCAGCCCCTTCCCTGCGGCTCCACGAGGCAGCCTCCGCCCACTGCCCCTCTCCAGGCGCCATAGCCGAGCTGCCTCTGAGGGCTGGCTGTGGTGAGCCCGGTAGGTGGAGGCCTCCCACAGGAGGCTGTGGTAGGGAGGAGGGCCCCATCTCTCCCCAGGTCTTGGCTTTGTGCCGCTTATCATCTGTGCCTGTGTGCCACAGCCCCTGTGCCTCTGAGACACAAAGGCACCTCTGAACCTCACAGAGTGCCCTCAGAGCCTATTACTGTGCTCCAGCTAGGGGCTTAATTTAGTCAGGCTGCCCTTCTAGGAGAAGCTCTACCTTTGCTGATTCACCAGTTTCGTGTGCCTGCTCATGAACCATGATCCTGGCACTCATTTTCCCTCTCCCGAGTTCAATGCACGGGAACCTCCCCTTACGCCACCTCACCTTCCTCCCCTCACCATGTCGCTATAGCTCCTTAAAGCGGAAATCATTATTTTCTTACTAGAGGCCCGGTGCATGAATTCGTGAACCAGTGGGGTCCCTCGACCTGGCCTGCGGGATCGGGCCGAAACTGGCTCTCTGACATCCCCCGCGGGGTCCCAGATTGTGAGAGGTTGCAGGCCAGGTCAAGGGACCCCACCGGTGCACAATTGGGGCCAGGGAGAGACGCAGGAGGGACCGCGGGAGGGCTCCAGGGCATGTCTGGCCCATCTCACTCAGTCCCGATCAGTCAGATCTCATCTCAGCAGCAAGCTAACCCACCAGTTGGAATGTCTGCCCCCTGGTGGTCAATGCATGTCATAGCAAGTGGTTGAGCGGCCTTAGCATATCATTAGCATATTATACTTTGATTGATTGAATGGACAACTGGACACTTAGCATACTAGGCTTTTATTATTCTATATAACAAAAGCCTAACATGCTAAGTGTCTGGTCATCCGGTCAGCTGTTCAACCAATCAAATGATATGCTAAGGCCGCTCAACCACTTGCTATGATGTGCATTGACCACCAGGGGGCAGACATTCTGACTGGTAGGTTAGCTTGCTGCTGGTATCTGGCTGATCGGGACTGAGTGAGATGGGCCAGACACACCCTGGAGCCCTCCCGCGGTCCCTCCTGCGTCTCTCCCTGGCCCCAATTGTGTACTGATGGAGTCCTTTGGTCTGGCCTGCACCCTCTCACACTCCGGGACCCCTCGGAGGATGTTGGAGAACTGGTTTCGGCCCAATCCTGCAGACCAGGCTGAGGGACCCCACTGGTGCACGAATTTGTGCATTGGGCCTCTAATATAGGATATAAGTCCATTGTGCGCTATGTAGACTCTAGTTCAGGGGTGGGCAAACTTTTTGACTCGAGGGCCACAATGGGTTCTTAAACTGGACCGGAGGGCCGGAACAAAAGCATGGATGGAGTGTTTGTGTGAACTAATATAAATTCAAAGTAAACATCTTTACATAAAAGGGTACAGTCTTTTTTTTTTTAGTTTTCTTCATTTCAAACGGGCCGGATCTGGCCCACGGGCCGTAGTTTGCCCACGGCTGCACTAGTTTCAGACCTTTTGTACAATGACCAGGTAACTGCGTGTGCGTCTTCCTTAAAACGCATATAACAGTCTTACTGGAAAGTCACTGGGAAATCTTGTTCCTCTCAACTCTAGCACCTCCTTTAGTGAACATGCTCCACACCTTCCATGTGCACCCTCCTGGTTCTCAGCTAATGGGCTGAAGTAAAACATCGCTTCTCATGTGATTTCTTGCTCAGAGTTGGCCAACGTCAGTCATCTGGCCTTGACCCTGTGCTGGGTGTGGCTGGCTGGGACTCGGAGTAAATTCTTCGACAGCAAGTGTCCCCAGGAGGATTTACCAGTGACACACTTTTTCTTTTGTATTTGAACTTCTTAAAAAGATGGGTCTTAATGTACAGGGAATACAGTCAATAATGTTGTACTCACTTTGCACAGTGATGGGTGGTGACTGGACATCTAATCTAATAAAAGAGAAACATGGTAATTGGTGTACAACCGCTACCCTTCCCATTGGCTGATCAGGGAGATATGCAAATTAACTGTCAGCCAAGATGGCGGCAGCAGCCAGGCAGCTTGAAACTAACAGGCTTGCTTGCTTCAGTGACGGAGGAAACCAACGTTCCCTTCCTGCCTTGCAGGCCTCTGAGCCTGCAGTTTGAAACATTTTAACAAATGTAGAAGCTAAAAAAAAAACCCCAGAAACCAGCTTTCAGCGAGCTGGGATCTCAGAGCTGGAGTCAGAGCTGGAGTTATACATTGTTTCAAACCGAAACAAACCAGATACCTACTTTCAGCAGCGGAGGCCTCAGAGCTGGAGCCTCAGAGCTAAAGCTGGCCCAGAATAAAAAAAAAAAAGAAAAAAAGGAGCAGTTAGGAGCTTCAGCCCTCAGCCCCTCACCCAGACTGGCACGGCCCCCCA